GATGATTATTTGAAAGTAGGTAGGTAGATAGTGCAGGTGAGGTACACCTTTATATTTATATATCATCAAATAGGAAAGCAATATGAATTGTACCTAATTTTCTACATGTCAGTGAATCTGGTTGAATAATAAAATGTTGAATAGATAAATACCCATTGGCCTCCTACCTACTTGAATTAGCTAACTAATTTCTACGTTTGTGACGTATGTGTGTGATTAAATGTAACCAATCCGCAGGGCCTATAGTAAATTAATAACAACACGTATAGGTACCACATTTAACAACATTCTACGTCATAATAAATATACGCATTATATTATATTTGTAGGTACTACAACAGTACACACTATACACTATGTATACACAGTGAAGAGACTCGATGTTTAGGTATACAGAAGTACAGTACTGCAGTATAATGTGGTATAATCGATGGTAAAATATAATATACATTTGTACTGTATATAATATTTTAATGTATGTTTTTAATTAATATTTAATAATCGATCTGAAAAATTTACATGCAGTGGCGTCAGGTAGGCAAAACTGGTACAATATAAACTGCTATAGTGTACACAATTATATAAAGTACCAGTAATAGGTATAGTCGTTACCACCCAACTGCTCGAGTGGACAAGAGGCAAGTTCCATCGACAATCGGCCATCGTGCCAGACGCCAGTGCCCACTGCCCAGACGCCCAGTGGCCTGTGCGTACGCCGCGTACGGTGTGCCGCAGAACCGCAGTGCTTAAATAGCAGTCAAGCTGACCGGTTGTGTGCGTGTGCATGGTGCATCAATAATAACATAAAATTTACGTATACATCGATCAATCGTTACAATCTTTAAAACATGAATACATAACTTCTCAGTACATATTTAACTGTTTATAGTTTATAATATAATATATGTACCCCTACACTGCAGTATATACTATATGAAAATTTACGTGGATGTGAAAACCCTGACAAAATGATTGAATGGCCGTGGCTGATGATTATACTGGCTCTCATTAGCACGGTAATGAAATGTTTTTGTACAAATAACACTTATTTACTAGTTTCGTTATTGTTTCAACGATTGTATCATAATGCGTGTGATAATGCTTATAATATTATATATTATTAATTTAAGGATTAAATAATAAATAGGTACCTACTTAGAGTAATACGGCCGTTAAAAGTATAAGGATTATTGAATTATTGTTATTTTAAACGCGTGTTATATATTTATTTAATTAATATACATAAGTATTAAGTACATAGTCATTTATTTTATGTCTATGATATGATGATTTCGATAGGTATAATATCTAGTATAACAAACATAATTGTTATAAATTAATAATAATATAGTTAACTAATATTATAATACCTACATAAACCTACGTTTAAATTATTAAGGTATAATAGTGGTATATAGTATATTAATATGTATATTAAAAATATAAGCAAAGTAAATCACAATATTTGATATCCGTTACCTTACATACTAGGTCGTTGTTATAATACTGTATCCCGTAGCAGTAATAATAACCGGATAAATAACCTCTATAAATAATTAATAATATTTCTTCAAAATCGTTTTCAAGAATATCATGGTTTGTAGTTTGCCTTTTATTATATATAAAATGCAAAATGTATACCATAATAACACGACCAATGATAGGGGATGAAGCTATAGTTGGCCCGAGCCTGGGTATGCCACTGGGCACCTATGTAATTGGCGAGTGGTATTAAAATGCATGATCTAACTTTTTACCTTGGTAATTTGTTGGTGGTTAAAACTAATTTAAACCTGAAAAAATTAATATTTAACTTGACAAGCTTATATCGAATAGTAGGTATTATGGATACCTAGGTACTTACATAGATTTATACTAGGTGCCAAAAACGTGAWTAAATTATAGACATGACGTGTATGTTTTATGTATGTTTAATCTTTAATGTTTATAGAATACTAATAAATGATTACTGTATAGACGCATATTATAGGTATCCTATAAAATATTAAAATAATATGAGAACCCCCTAGGTTATTGTTTATTACCTACCTACTAATATTATGCTCGTAATTTATACTATTTGATATTTATTTTTTTTTTATGTGACAGTTAGAAAGTACCTATATATATATTATTATAAACCAATAATAATAATTTAAATTTTATACATGAAGTAGGTATACTGACGACCTACCCGATAAGTACCTATTTACTTGCCTATATCAATTACCAAATTCAATAGGTATTTGAAACAATTATATTATTATTGAAAGATAGGTAAGTACTTACTATTTACTATACCTTACTATACTATTATACTATATACTAACCTATAGCAATATTTGATAATTTATTGGTACCTATACCTATAAGTTTTTAAATTAATATATTATATAGGTACCTTCTGTAATAGTAGGTACCAAAGTCACTAATATTAATAATATTATATGAGGTAATAAAAATAAACATACCTACCTATTACATTGAATTCCTAATAATATTATAATAGATTGTTAATAATATGCATGGAAATAATTCAAAGGTTTTAAGATTAATGCAAAATTCAGTAAGATGTAATAATTTAATTATAGGTACATTTGTATATTTATATGTAACGTGTGCAGGTAACTAATTACTCAATTACATCATAAATATTTATTTTTCGTATATATAGTAGGTTGTAATTTAGTTTGTAAAAAATTCCCATAGATATTCGTATGTTAATATGCCTATTATATATATGGCATATATATTTTATAGTTATATACATTGTTAAAATATTAAAACGCCTGATGAGTAATCTTAGCGCATTTAGGTAATAGGTAATAATTATATAAGTTATAAATCATTACTCATTTTAGTATTTTACTATAAATATTTTTGGAATGTAATTGAATAAGTGGTCAAAATAAAATGATAAAAGCAATATACCTACCTAATATATGTAATGTTCCTAAATTAGAAACTCTGACTGTATCTATTGTGTTTGACACTGACATAATATGCTAGAATTTTTATCAAATATAGAGGTATGCGTGTAATTAGATATTAATAAAAATTGTTACATGTACATTTTGTAGTAAGTAACATTACAAACTATTTTTTCAAAATTGATTTTATTCAACTCTTAATTACTTTCACCAACTATTATACTGTATAATTCGCCTGATGATTAGCGCAATGTATTAAATTAATAAGAGAATATTCTCAAAAATAGATAAAAAATAATGGTTAAATTATAAAACTATAAGGCCAGAGCCTCAGATTATACTTTTTATTCGTGTTTTTTAAATTAAATTATCATTATTTTGTTAGAATCTAACGATAATATTTATTGTTATGAAATTACTTCATAGAATTGATGTTATATATACCTATAGCAAAACAATAGATCGTAGGTATTCTTGTATAGGGAGATAAATACCTATAATATTAATACCATTAGTTATTACAATTATGCACTGAAAAATGCAAAACTATACCTAAATAGTATTACMTATATATTAATTTTAATTTATTAAGTCTATAAAGTAAAATGTGGAGTACCCACTTCTAATCTAGAATTTAAATACATTTAAAAAAATTGTAGGCTTTTAATTATTTAATAGGTACTCTTGAAGACATAATCCAGTGTTAATTATACCACAGTAGTTTTTTGCATTGTTAAAACTTATGTCTTAAAAAAATGTTTATAATTAAATAGTAATACAGTTACATTACTAAATTGATTAGATGGAAAAAATATATTACTATTTGAAATTGAGTAAATACAATTGTTTTCAATTGCTTCAATATTATTCATAATCAGCATCAGCACTAGCTAGGTATCTATATAACATAATAACGTAAATTGGACAACTATAATTACGTCTTTTAGACATTTTATTTTTAATTAAATATAATTTAATTATTCTTGGAACAAATATTTACCTAAGTTTATCCTGAGTCATGGTACCATGTCACACGTGTGATACTGTGATCAAATATTTAATTATATATTTATATCCAAATTGTAGCCAATACAACAAACAAAATTGTTTTCATAATAAATTAGGTAACTCTTTAGCGGTGTTCATTAACACTTTACAGTGCTAATTAATTTTTATGATCCCGAGGCCCTACAAAGTACAAATCCAGGATTGTTCAATATCCAGTGTTATAATATAATATTAATTAAAATTAAACAGATTGAAATAATCTTAACTAAAAGGTTAAAAAGATTAATTTCATTTTAGGTTCAATGGCCCAATTCGACAGCACAACACACAAAAGGCTATAATTATTCATACTGGGAAGGGTATGTATGGTCTTCTGCAAGGAATAGGCCGACAAGAACAAGTTTTTTTGATCAAGATACTACTGTAACTACAGCCAGCACGATATCAAGTTTTAAGGAGGATCAAAAGTAGGTTAATCGATATTTCCTATACCTATATAGGTTTTATTCTCAATATAATAAAACTATAAAAGGGGCCCAAATTCATGAGACATAATGATTCAAGAATAAGTATTCAGCTATTCAGCAACTTTATATCATCAGACGATTTAGACGTAGGTATACCATTATTGTTTATACTATAAAAGCATAATGGTACCTATGTATATCACAACATATACATTAAAAATTTAATGGTACCTATACTTACTATTTTGTATCGGATTCTAAAAAATAATTAATGATATAATATTTAATTTATATTATATTATTATTCAATAGTATACATTTATACGACCTTAGTAGTTATCTAGTTAATCTAGAATACATTTGTACATACCTAATTGTTTGAAAAATAATAATACATAGGATAAAATAAATTTTATCAAAATAATTTGTTTCAATCTTTAAAATKTATTGTGGTCTCTAGAATTTTTACTAGCTATATACCTTAACTGGAGGTCGGCAGGTCGATGATATAATTTTTGTGTTCAGAAAACTTAGGAGGATTATATCTTGTTAAAGGCTACAAGTAATATATGTCAAGACTTTCGATGTTGATTAAAGTTTTTTAATTAAAATACCACGATTGTAAGATGTTGTATAATTTATATAGATTATCAATCATTTTAAGATAAAAATATGTGAAAAGTATAGTTATATTAATTTATTATAGTTGGAACTTGCAGCAAGTTAACGGATAGCATATAAATATATATAAAACAAATTACAAATTACAGAATAGTACATTACATAGTGATAGTTCAAAATTTAATTTTTAAAAAATTACGATTTTCTAAAAACGATTTGAAGAATTAAATAATTATCAGGAAGATATTAAAAGGTTTTAGTTATTTAGTGTTGTTAAATGGAAAAAATAATCGTAGATACTTCAAACTTTTCATTAATACGTACCAACGTGGTGACATACCTAATGTTTATATTATTATTGTCTGTATGTATGAAATGTTAAAAATGTTTAGACTAATTTTAAGTTATTTATTGTGCTAAATTTATTATTTATTTTTTTTATACTCAAGAATTCTTATTTAGTTAATGGTCAATGGTTTAACCTATACCCATATCGAATTAAGAAAATACTAATAATTTATGATAATAATTTGTGTATTAAGTTATGTAGTAGTCAACTATGTATATCTAACTATCCTTAGAAAAATATGCTGATCCACCCACCCCTTAACAGAGAATCATTTTTTCGTATTCAATTTCACATTGAAAAGATACAAATTTAATTTAAACCTTCTGTCAGAGCAAATTTCCCAGATAGGTAGGTGTACTCAATAATGCCAAGATAAATACTCGAAATCTTCTGTAGGTACAGCAGAGAAAGTTTTAACTTTAAAATTTTTTWAAATTTGTTATAAATAAGAATCTAAAAAATTCATTTATTTCCTATTAAGGAACTACAGAGATCTGTACATTATAAATTTATAACTTATAACCTAAAAATATCCTCTATTTTCAAACTTATTATGCGTTTGCTAATTATTATTAATTAATAAAAACTAAAATCTATGAAATAGATAATTTATTTAATCATGATTAAAAAAAAAAATAAATAAATAGAAATTAGAAAATATTTTTAGAAATACATTGAAAAAATTAACTTATCAATACCAAATAGTTAAGTACTTAGTTATTACAAGTATAGATTCGTATAATATGTTAATAAATTCCTTGAATTTCTATACTGTGTAGSTATTACTAGTGAATTAGAGTATACGGCAGCCAATATAATTTCTAATTATGACATTGATGACCTATCAGCTATCAGCCGGTACCATACGTTTCTGATTATATAAATTTGCCGTTGATTTCTAAATAACWATTTTTTTAATTAGTGTATTGTACCTACTCATTATATAATATACATTATATTATATCAGTGGTTCTTAAACGTTGGTCTGCGGCCCCCCTGCAGTGATCAGCGACACGCCAAAACTCATGCTGAGGATTCACGGAACTATTGGGGGGGTTGATCAATTTTTTATTCAGCGGTGCATTAAATACCTACCTACTAGCATGGCCAAAGCTATAGAAAACTAACAAAATAAAGATGACAATTTAAAATTAGTAAAATACAATTTAAGACTGTTTGAGTGAATATTATAAACCATTAAAATAATTATTTTTTTAAATTTATTAAGGCTTCAACAACACATGTTTTTAGCCTACAGGCTACAGACATATAAATTATTATACGTGTTCAATAATACAATAAATAACTTATATATATTTGTTTTATATACGTATTCCAATCACCTTAGAGAATGTATGATGTACACTTTGTATACTAAGTTAACATTTGAATAATGTTGATATTAGCCGAATAATATTATAACATTATATACTTGCAAATATATATACCCATAGGCCATAAGRGTTAAAGACATCACGATGTAGAAAATATTCTGTACGTTGACACGTTGTTCTGCGTTTCTATAACAATATATAACGATAGCTGATAAGTGAATACAGTAGTTAGTCTTCTACTACATATATGGTACCTACCCTACCTATCTTGTACGGAAAAGGAAGATATAAATATACGCGTAACTATTATTAAACGACCAAAATTAATAAAATGGAAGTATATGAATTAAACATTTTTGAAAGTTTTATTGTTTGTATTTATCAACAGGTGAATCATTCATAAATAATTTATATTTTATATTACACAGTGTGCATAAAGCGCGTCCAGACGGAGCAGCTTTTGCCGCGTCCACACGGTGCGGCATTTATTTCCCGATTATTTTCCAGTAGACAATAATTTAAATACTTAAAAAATAAGTACTGATGCCGCGCGGCTTTGCCGAAAATACGTCCACACACACGCGGCATGGGCGAGCGGCACAAGCCGCGCGGCTTTCCTTTGATGTAGACCGCCTGCTAGGCCGATCGGAAATTATGCCGTGCGGCATCAAAAAAAGCCGCGGAAAATGTATTTATGTATGCACACTCATCCCGCGCGGCACGGCAGCTCGGCAAAAGCTGCTCCGTCTGGACGCGTCAGTGTTTTCAAACTACTTCCTGTACCTGTAAAATTTTCAAATTTCCAAATTTTCAAACCACTTAAAAACCACTCTTTAAAGTTACTTACATGGTTACCTATGAGTTAAAGAAAGTCCTTTAGAAACATAATAATCAATAATTATTGTGAAAAGTGATATTATGCTATATATAATGCTAAATATTTTATTTTCTTACCTAACTATTTTCTTTGTGTACCACATCACCGCCTATTTGAGCTTGCCGTTTAACCCTAGTTAGGACAACTACTATATACATACAACTTCCGCAGGGGCAGAATAATTAGCAGTAGAAGATAATATTTATTATTTAGCTTCTCCTATGTATTTAAATCAAAATTTGATTGAGAAGTTGCTTAAGTTAATGAGTTATTAAAAACTCTAGTCTTATTTTACTTATTACTCACTGCCTAGTACCGTATACACTTGGATTTAAAAAAATTATAAATTGTTAATAGATTGTAGGTACCTACCTATCTAGTTATTAATAAATACATTACAAACACTTTCAATACACCATTATACATGAACGCATATATATATATACTCCGATACTCGTATATATATATAATGGAGTGTGGGCCTAATACTTATTATTTATAGTAGGTAGGTAGTTACCATTAAAAATTTGAATTTTAATAAATTTATTATTTAAGGGATTTTATGGGGCGAGCATGCTTATGGATGCTTTGTATAATATTTATTATGTGAGTGAGCACTGACATTAAATTATGTTTCAATTGACAAACGAAGAGTGAAAATGAACACGTGAATGATCGCTAAGCTGTGAAAAATGAATTATAACAGTGCCGTATCCGGGGTGGTGAGCTTTTGAGCTTAAGTCTCTCCCCCGAAAATAAATCCTGGGTTATGCACTAAATTCAAATTTATATTAGGTATTTATATAATAATTTTATCTACATCATTTTTTCCTCAAGGCGGGCAGGTAAAAGAGAGGAGCGAGAACTTAACATTTTATTTTCATATTTTGTATACCTTATGGATACAAACATATGAAAAGTTTTTCAATTTGTTTTTTGTTTCAGAATATTTTAAAAATAAAACTTCCCAAAATATTATGGGTAGATTAATTTACATCTACAGTACACTTACCTACCTTTTTAAAATAAATCATGATGAATTAAGTTCAGAATCTAGATAATATTATATAATATTATATTATTCATGCCATCAATACGTAAATATTAAATTTCACAGTTTAATTTCATTATAATTTTTTTTTTTTTTTTAAATAGATTTATTAAACATGAATAAATAAAATAAATATAAAACAAATATAATAACTTTAGTACTTACTTTACCATTAAGACCCTCTGATTAAAATATGTATTAAATCTAAATTTTATTTTTAAATTCATTGCTTTTTATAACTGTTTTATTTTTAGATATGAATCTGTTATTAATATTAAAAATATAAATGTAAGAGATTTACCACTATCAAACTTGACAAAATCGTTATTTAAAAATGAAAATACAACCAATAATACCAATAAGCAACTCAGCACCGGTTTAAAATTACCTCAAACAAAACCTTCACCAATTGTTTTTCCAAATTCAATAAATGAAAGATTGCAATCAGCCAACAAATTTGTGCCGGAACCACAGATAATCGAAAAATGTTCACAGAACGAAAGCTTTTGCATCAAAGTTGATAATTATCCAAGGTAAGCACCAAATCAAATCATTTTTTAAAAATACTAAAAAACTAATCTACTCAAATTGTTTTATTTTTTCATTATTAGACATGAATTATTCAATCTTTTTAGAACTAGCAAATATATGTCAACTTCTTATTTTGGAACAGATACTGTAAATGAAGTATGTAACCTTAATATTTTATTTCTGAATACTATACCTTTACTATTTAGTGTAATAATATTGCTCCAAATAATGATACCTATCTGTTAGATATACAAATGAATTTTTTCTTTAGATAAATGATTTGGAGACAAGATTATCTAATAGTAACCTTCAACCATTCTGTGAATCAAAAGTAAGTACCACTCAATGAAATTAGTATACCATAAGATATATTTTTGTTATTTTATAAATACACCCAGTTGTGTAATAGGAATGTTAAATATATAAGTATACTGAGTTTATGGACATGAATTGGAAATTAAAATAAATATTTACAATACATGTAGATCACTTTGTTTGGTATATGTTATGAATTAATGAGGTCAATCAGTTAAAATTTTATGTTTGGAGCCCTTGGTATATCCTAGACTATCATCATAACACAATAGACTCCATGTATTAAATATTATTATTATATAATTTTTATTAAATAAAAAAATATTTTCTAGGAAGATGTAATATTTCCGGAAGCAGGTATAACAAAAAACAATGAATGGCGTTATATTATACAAGATCCAAGTAATGATAATACCAGTTTTAAACAAGGAATTCGAGTGGAGAAATGTATGTAAGTATTAACATAAGAATGTACAAGAATTTGAATTAATCAAATTATTTCTGTAGAAATGCTGGAACCACGTGCAAATTTAATGATCTTTTACCAATTGGATACACAACAACTTGTGTACAAAAATATATCTATAAAAAATTAGTTGCCATTAAAGATTCTAAAGAAATATATTATGAAAGTTTTAAATTGCCGTCCTGTTGTGAGTGCATGTATAGTATAAATCCAKATCTATTAACAAGAAAAGGTGGACTGAGTGGAGAGTTAGATAGTCGAAGGTTGTATCAGAATCAATCAGAAACTTTGAAAAGAAACAAAGATGTAATTAACAAGAAAAATTAATAAGGTTAAGATACATACACAACAAATAAAGTATATTTTAATCTGTATAACGATATAATGAAATTTTATAATAATGTAAATATTTTATGTACTCTTTATTAAATACATGGTTGATATAATTAACACGTAACATATTCAATGTTGAGATTTGAAAATGTAATCTAAAATAAAGTTAAGGTAACAATGTTTAATGTTTAAGGGTTAAAATGTTTTTTTTTWAATTTATATGTTACAAATAAGTATAAATCAAACCTATTAAAAATTTAAAATAATAACTTATGCATTAATTTGTAAAAGATTTATTTGGCTGACAGATGATATCACTTACAATAGTAACTTATAAGTTATAACATTATAAAACTGGTATTTTTCCTAATATTTTATCCTCATAAGTTTTATATATATCTACAAGCTGATTTTCAGATAAATCTTTGTTGACATCTATCACCAATAATGAACACGGGAGTTTATAATATTTCTCCATTAGCCATTTTTCATAATATTCATGTAAATCTACCAAATAATCAAGTTTAACAGTGCGCTCTTCTGGACGATTGCGACGTTGCATTCTTGTATACACAATGTCTGGTAAACTTCTTAGATAGACTGAAACATTAAAAATCATCATTAACCATCTTAAATTTAGACTGCAAAAAAAATAATAAATAAACTTCAACCAATCACAAAAAACATTAAAATTTTCATATTTAGTTGAACATTATTTGAATGAATAATTTATTAAATACAATATTATGGTTCATAATTCATAATAATTAATATAATATAATGATAATAAAATAAATTAATTGGTCAGAAAAACAAAACTATATTGGTTTAAGCCTCCCTAGAGACTATACATATACTCTCTTGAATAAGATTAACCACAGTGTGTTTACATACAGCAACAAGTTAATAAGTTAATTTTAACTTACTAATTCACAGTTTTAATTAACTTAACTTTAACTTAACTCATTTATATCTCTGTTAACTTAAAATCGACTTCTACTTTTTAATATTATCAATTAAGTTAATTTTGAATTTTAGTTTTATTTAGAATGTATTTAAGTCTATAACAGTTGGTTGATTTAAAATTCTTAGAATATAAGAAAATATTGTTGGAAAAAAAAGAAGATATTTTGTAATTTTTTTACAAATAAGAACTAATATGTTATATTAATTAAATATGTACTAATAAAATAATAAATAATAATATAGAGATAACATTGTAACAATGTGACATTTAGTCACCCGTATGATCATATTATATAAGATATATCAATAGCTACGAAGTCACATTTAATAATACCAGGCTTTTTAGGTACTCATTAATTATTAATATTATTATTACATAATATTTATTATTATCTTATTTTATAATTTTTATGATTGTCGATTATCATGAATTGAGACCATTTTATAACAAATACACGTTGATCGGCTCTTTAGTACTGGAGGACAAAATAAGAGGTTCAATGGCAGATCAAAATTTTGAAATGACTCTATGGTTGAAATTTAATTAATACTTTGAATAGACCAGCAGTAAGTACAAATCTTATATATAAATAAATAAATTTTTATATTATATTATATATACAGATATAATATTTGTAATATTTAAAAGTTATAAGTAAAAAATATGGTTACTAGTTTTTTTTAAACCTCATTTATGAATGTTTGAGTTATTTGTTTTTGAATTGTAAAGATTAAACAATAAAGTAAACACATTTAAGCTAAAATTTAAATCAACCCAGACTCTAGAGTAAAATATAAATATTAATTAGAGTTACCTATAAAATGATAGAGCCCTACAACAGTTTTTAAATTATATACATCATATTAATATATATATATATATATATTTATTGTTCATAGATATATTACCTACTATAGGTACAAGTGATTTTCACTTATTTTAAAACCTTTTCGATGAATTTTTTTTTATTAACTTAACTTATTTATTGAAGTTAAATTACCAAATTTGTTAATGCAAAGATACATTTTTTGAAAATAAAACAGTGAATATTGTGTGAAATATAAAACTGCGCCTATATTAACTTACTATAGATATAATTTTCAATGGATTTTAAGAACCAATAATAACTGAATAGTTTATATATAATTGTTTTAGTATAGGAATAATTAGTACTGTATGATTCCTACCAATTAGATCTAATCCAATGTCCACATTTGTTTCGATGTATTCATACCATTGGCACATAACTCCATATTCAGGACTAGATAATAATCCTTTGTCATGAGCCATCTCCACAAAACAATATCTAAAAAAAATAAAATATTGTATTATTTTAATGAATAAAGAAAAATTCTTCTTTAAATAAAACAATTTTTAAATATATATTCAATTCAATTATGATGGAACTTAACAAGTTAAATTAACCATATAGCAAACAGATTCTTTCAATCACTTACAAACTCAAATGGTGCTGTTCAAAAATAACTTACACGAAAGCCCTACAAAAATTTGTCAAGAAAGGAAGTCTCCACGACCAGGTTAGGTTACCGTAATTTAATGACATTTACCACTAATTACCACAATAACGAATGCATCATGCCAGAAAATTACTAGCTTAAACATACTACTTAATATTCAATATTTAATTATTATATTGCAATTATGTATGAAAGAAAAATTGTTAAAAAAAAAAAAACTAAAAATTTGTATATATCTGTAGGCTTAGATAGCTATTCAAACTAGGGATGCCTTAATTAATACTAAAAAAAAATTAAATGGTATGAACCATCAATCATTTAAGAGCCCGCATATGTTGTCTCCGTCTTACAAGTGCGTAACATGGCAAATTTTATGCTCAGCAGATCACGTTTAGCTCYGTTAGTTTATAATTTAGAGTAAATTGAACTCTTAAAAAATTAAAATTAACATTATTCTAGAGGTCATAACGTAGGCTTTTTATTATATTTTAATTTTAAAGCGAGTTATGTGTATTTTAAGATATACAAACAATTTACAATTTTAAAATACACATAACTCACTTTAAAATTAAAATATAATAAGAAGCCTACGAGATGGCCTCGATAATAATGTTACCTTTAATTTTTGTAAGAGGTCAATTTACTCAAAATTTTATACTAACGGAACTATATATGTTCTGCTGAGCATACAATTTGCTATGTTATGCGTTTGTAAGATGAAGACAACGTATGTGGGTGTAGCATCCTCTTAATAAGTCATGACACAATTTTCTCTTTAGACGGCGTGGGGAATTACTAGGAAGTGAGATGGAAGCAAGTTCAGCGATCAAAGGGTTAAAATGAGACTGTAATTTAGAGTGGAATTTTTTATAATTTTTTGTGGCTATTTGATTTACTGTTTCTATTTTGAAGTCATTTTGAAGTGTGGAATGTGATATGTACCAAGGTGCAGAAGAGATACTGCGGAGAATGATAGATTGGAAGGATTGTAGAGTACGTATTTGAGATGGTTTAGAGCATCCACAGATTTGGATTGTATAAGCCCAGATAGGCCGTAATAAGGATTTGTAGATGATTATTTTTGTGATGAAGAGTAATTTTGATTTCAGAATTGGGCGAAGTAAGTGGAGTCAACTATTGAGAATTTTTCTTTTTGACTTGATGTGAGGACCCCAAATCAATCTTCTATCAATTAGGACGCCAAGGTATTTTACTTCTGRGAATATTTGGATTAGTATTCCTTGAAAATAGAAGGGAAGGGGTATGGACTTGTTTAGTGTAAATGGGACATACATTGATTTGTCAGGATTAATCTTGATTTTCCAGTTGGATGACCATTTGTCTATTAAATAAAAATGTGTTAGTAAAAAATGTACAGTTTCTACAGGATCATTACCAGGTGAGAGCTATCTAATTTTAAGATATTTTTAATGCACACAAATCTGTGCTGTTATATAGCTGTTTTCAATTAACATTACCTATTATTTTGTAATGAACGTTCAAACATTTGTACGTCCTTATTTGTAGTTTTGGACTGTAAATTCAAACGGCTTAATTGTACATTATGTTGAAAAGCAAAATTCCATCTTTGAGGATCTGAGTATGTTAGTTGAAGCAAGTTATGACCATTTAAATCTCGCCATGTTTCTATTGGTTCCTATATAATATATAAATTAAAATGTAATAAACATTTTTAATTACATAAAAATATATTATTGCATATTATAATTATTGAATTATTAATAGTATACTTATTGTTATCAATGATCATCAATAATAACTAATTAATAACAAAATTGCACTCACAGGATTTGTTTCGACATCTTTAAACTTTTCAAAATACTTTATCAATGTTGATTTTCCAGACCCAACATTTCCCTCAACAGCTACACGGAAAGGTTTTTTAATTATCTGCTTTTTCATGTTACAAAAACTAAAAACAAAAAAAACAAATATAATAATTTACCTAAATATTTAGAATATATGAAAACAAAAAATGTAGTTTCACTTAATAGGTTCTATCTAATTGTCAAATCACTAATGAATAGGTTAATCCTAGTGGACTAAAATACAATATTAAAATTTCAACAGCGACTAATGTAAAATTTAAAGATTTGAATGAGTAGTGTACTATAATATGATAATGATAGCATAGTTGACTTTAGTTGGTAAGTAATTAATATCAAAGCATTAAAAAATTTCATAAACATGTTTTATTTATTTCATAACGAATGAAAATTGAATTGCAATCATTGTACTTAAATTAAAACCTTATCAAAACATTATTGTTATATTCTTTCAAAAAAAAAATAAAAATATGCTACCAATTAAAAATAACAGCTTAAACAGCAATTAATAGGTATTTATAAGTAATATAAACCAAAGTTTTTGAAAAAAATCACTTACTTTATATACCTAGTAATATCTACGTAGCAGTAACAATAAAATAGTCCTTGAGAGCCAGTATAAGTGCACTTATTGCGGACTGCACAAGTAAAAAATTTTCAAAATTAAGACAAACTTCGCCAACGCGCAAACTTCAGACTAGGAAACAAAAAAATGTTCAGACGTTCAGAGTGCTTCGTGTAAACGTGTAGAAACTCTGAGCGAATTTCTTCTTTGTCACTAACTTGCTATTTTGTTACACAGTAACCATCGGTCAAACAAAATACTGATGTTAATTCAGTCAAGTTTAAACAAATACTATAAATTAAAGTATTTGGTGTTAAATACTATACTATGGTCTACAATCCGAATGTGAAACGACCACTTGCAAGAGACAATATCATAAAACTAGGGTTTATAAAAATATCTCAGAACAGTTGTATATTATGSATAATATGCATTATTGCGTTTATAGTTGTCATTGTTGATAGATGTTATGCTGATAAAAAAAAGCGGGAAAAATAACGACAGCTAAAATGCGTCTCTATCGCATAGAACGATAGAACAGTACTATAGGTAGAAACTTTGGCAAACCTGTAAATTAGTTTTTTTATTCATCAATTTAAAAAAATATCCGCTCTCAGAGTGCTTTAATTACCCTGCTTTGTTTTCAATAATTAATGAAACTTTAAAMATATTTAGATTTATATTACAAATTACAATCTGTATGTGTTACCTCCATACAATGAGTAGGACGTTTGAAACTCATTATACAGAAAGCTTTTACTGAAACGTAAATAATCAACARTTGGTAGTTATTGTTCGGGAAAAATAAAAACTGAGAATTGTACGGCAGCTAATATTATTTATTTTGCTAAAACTTAATTAAATAATAATACAATAGAAAAATCAGTCAT